GGATTACAGGCATGCACCTTCAAACCCAGTTGATAAATTATTTGTAATACTTTAAAAAACAAACAAATAAACACCCAAGTGTGGCTTTTGGAGGCAGCACCAACACCCAAAAAAGATCATCAATAACTTCTCTAAGGTAGGTACTGTGAGAGTGACAGTGGGTAAACACATGGTCCCTGCCCTGCAGTGGTTGCTACTTTGTGATACCATGAAGTACAAATTTTGTCCTGTTTCCAGACACACAGCTCCTGAAACCCTTGGAATCTCTAGAGTGATAAGGGTATCTTTTCTGTGTTAATGAGTGCATTGGTGGCTAAGGGGTCCCTAGTTAGCTTTGGGATGGGGGTTGGTCACCAGAAAGACCAAGTCTTGATTACAGGGTTGGGACTTTCAGCCCCACCCTGTTCCCTGCAGGAGCATAGAAGGTTAAGTTGATCACCAATGGCCAATGATATAAACAATCATATCTAGTTAATGAAGCATCCATAAAGACCCAAAAAGACAAGCCAGGTGTGGTGGTGCATGCCTATAATCCCAGAGACTTGGGAGGCTGAGGCAAGAGGATAGTGAGTTCGAGGCCAGCCTCGACAATTTACTGAGGCCCTAAGCAATTTAGGGAGACCCTGTCTTAGACTTTTAAAAAAAGGGCTGGCAATGTGGTTCCATGTGCCCTGGATTCAAACACCAGTTGCAAAAAAAGATCCAAAAGGACAGAGTACAGAGGTGAAGAGGGGTTTCCAGACATCTGAACAGGTATCTAGTACTTGGTTGGTGGGTGCCAAGAGAAGGCCTCTTCTCCCATACCTCGGCCTATGCATCTCTTTACCTGTATCTTTTGTAGTATCTGTTAGGCCAGTAAATGTAAATGTTTCCCAGGGTTCTCTGAGCCACTTCAGCAAATTATTGGAACTCAAGAAGTGGGGTCACGGAAATCCCAGTTTTTAACCAGTTGGTCTGTGCTTGCAACCTGAAGGAGGTTGGGCAGTTTTGTGGGACTATTACCCCGATGACACTAATGCTGCCTGAGGGAAGAGGCTCTACAAATGTTAGGAATGAAACTGGTAAGAAAATTGGTTTTATTCAAAGCCAGCTTTGAAGGAAGATAGAAAAAACTTTAGTTTCAAAAATTCCATCTTTAGAGGCTGGAGTTGTGGCTCAGTGGTACAGCGCTCACCTAGCACATGGGAGGCCCTGAGTTCAATCCTCAGCACCACATAAAAATAAAATAAAGATATTGTGTCCAACTACAACTAAAAAGCAAAATATTAAAAAAAAATTCCATCTTCAGGTCTGAGAGCAACTAAAGCTTTTAAAAGACAGGTAAAGTAAGGCAAAAGACAGGAAATATTTATATGCCAATAGCCTGTGCGAGTCAGGCCTGGGGAGGGGGTGTCATGTCACCAAAGGGCCAAGGAGTTCCCAGAAAGGAGAACTAGAATCAGGACAAGTGGGGTTCTTGACTTACATGATGGTAGAGAATTTCAGCATGTACTAGTCAGAGAGACAGAAGAAGTTTTCTCTAGGAAGGCAGAGGCACATTCCAGGAGAATGTGAGCTATCTCAAGAGTGAGAAGCTTTTGGGGTAAAGCAAAGAATATATATTCAAGGGATAATGCAGGCCATCTCCTCAGGGAAAGACAGCAACCTGTTGGTGCCGGATGTTGATATTTATAGCGGGACAGTTGCTAGGGGCTGCAGTAGAGATGGAGTGGGGGGGGGGGGTTACTCAAGTTTGTGCAGTTTTCCCTGCACTTGGGCATTGTCCTCTCCTTCCTTTTTGTAAGCAAGGGCATGGGTCAAGGGCTCAGGAAGGGCATGGGCTGGATTGCTCAGGAGTAGGTAAAAGGGTTCATGGGTGTTTTCTGCATTTCAATGGTTCATAGGCACTCCTCTTAAGACTCAGTCTACCTTTCCTCTTCTGCATCTCCAAATTCCTATCTCAGGGAGAACCTCCATTCTCAGCTTTCTCAGTGTCTCCCAGGTTGTGGGGGATGTGGTGGTGGGGGGAGATATCTTCAGCCTTCACTCAGCATGAGGAAGTTGCCCTTCATTTTAGAGAAGCCCCAACTACAGTCTGTTTCAGGACAGCCCGCAACTTTGGGGTTCTGACACTATCTCCAGGCAGGTAATGTCAGAACTGAATTGAATTAGAGGACATCCAGCTGGTGTCATTACAGAATGCCTGCAGCAGAATTACTTGGTTGGTTAAAAGGAAAAGGCCCCTTTATCTGATGTCAAAAGTGTTGCATTGACCTTGTGAGAATAGGAAAAACACTCCCCCACCCCATATCCCCTTGTACTCAGTTACAAGACTTGATATGAATAAATCCTTGCTCTGGAAATTGGTAGAAATCACCACAGTTGAAATGGCTCAAGCCATCCTCCTGCCTTAGGACACAGAATTTAGTGGAGAATTTGTCAAAAATGTAAAATATGGGGATGTAGCTCAGTGATACAGTGCTTGCCTTGTATGCATCAGGCCCTGAGTTCAATCCTCAGCACCAAAAAAAAAAAAAAAAAAAAAAAAAAAGTAACATATAACTTCAAAAATGTAAAGTAGGGCTGGGGCTGTAGCTCAGCAGCAGAGCGCTTGCCTAGCATGTATAAGGCACTGGGTTCGAGCCTCAGCACAACATAAAAATAAACAAATAAAATAAAGGTATATGTCTATCTACAACTACAAAAAAAAAAAAAGGCTCTGGGTTCAACCTCCAGTACTATAAAAAGGAAATAAGTAGAATTCGTTTTTACTGTTTTTTAAGATAAGGTCTCACTGTGTTGCCAAGACTGGTTTCCAGGCTCCTGGGCTCAAGCCACGCGGCTGCCTTAGCCTCCTGGTGTTGCATCACTGCATTCTGCTCATTTTAATAACATATTATACATATCCCCTTATTCTCCAAATATTATTTGAGGTCTGGGGGTTGTAGCTCAATGGTAGAGCTCTTGCCTAGCAAGTGTGAGGCACTGTGTTCAATCCTCAGCACCACATAAAAATAAATAAAGCTATTGTGTCTACAACGAATAAATTTTAAAAAATATTATTTGAACCTGTAATCAATGTAAAAACAAATTACTTAAATCATGCAGGAAATAACAGTTTGCATGATTTCAAATTTTTTAAAAAAGTAATGGAAATGCTTTTTATATGGATTATATCGGTTACATATGTGTCAAAACTGATAAAATTGCATACTTCAAATATGTGCATGTTATTGTACTTCAGTTTTACCTCAATAAAGCTATGGGGGGGAAAAAGAAATGAATTACTGAGGTATTTCATGTTTTTTTTTAATATTAAGTCTTTGATATCTGAGGTGCATTTTACACTTGTAGCACACTTCAATTGGGACACGCCACATTTCAAGGGCTCAACACACCTGTGGGCTGTGGCTACTATATTAGACACTGCAGGCCTAGAATTTAGTTTAGGAGTGAGACCAAACCCAATTTGTCTTCCTACCTCAGACCTTGACCTTTTTCAGTCCACTTGTAGACTCAACAGTCCCTATTTATCCTTCTAAAAAGCAACTCTAATCATGTCATTCCCCCCTGCTTAAGAGATATGATATCTCCTACCAGTTAACATTTTTTGAAAGACTCTTCAACAATTTGACCCCAATTTCCCTTTAAACTTGTTCTTTCTCCTCCGGCTCTTAAAGATATGACCACATGCTGGGCACGTGGCGCAAGCCTGTAATTCCAGCAGCTCTGGAGGCTGAGACAGGAGGATCTAAACAACTCTTTGAGCCCCTATCTCTAAATAAAATACAAAACAGGGCTGGGGATGTGGCTCAGTGATTGAGTGTTCCTGGATACTCCCGGTACTCCCCACCCCCCACAAAAGATATGACCACATGGTATAAACTTTTCTAAGTCATTAGGTTTTTGCGACCTCCTTGCATTTTTCTTTCTTGGCATGGGAACCTCTTCGAAGATAAATTCATTCATTTATTCAAGGGGTGCCTACTGAACGTCTGCCAGTGTGCTGCCTGCCAGTGTGCTGCGGGACACTAAACCCAATTCAAGGGAATTCCTTTGACCAACTCTTACCTCATCCCCCCACTCAGTCTCCACTGAAGTCCCACCCCTATCCCTCCACCTCAGCTCTAAATGCAGCCTGAAAGTTTATAATCCAAGCGACTCTGGAACCTTAGGCAGGAGGATTCCAAGTTCAATAACAGCCTCAGCAATTTAGCAAGACCTGCTTCAAAAAAATAAAGAAGGCTGGGGATGTAATTAAGTGGTAAGGCGCCCTGGGTTCAATTCCTAATACTTATTATTATTCAATCCTTTAAAAAAATTTTTTTAGTTGTAGATGGCCATATCTTTATTTATTTTTATGTGGTGCTGAGGATCGAACCCAGTGCCTCACACATGCAAGGCAGGCACTTTACTACTGAGCTACAGCCCCAGCCCCTTGTTATACAATACTTTTATTTATTTAAAAATAAATAATTTAAGCCCTAGCACTCAGCTGCTCAGTCTGTTCACTACTCCCACACCCTTTAAAGTCCAGGAACATGCATTTGTTTCACCACGTCTTCAACGCTGTTCTCCTGGTGAAAGTTGAAGGAAGGGAAGAGGGGTGAAGGAGCAGTTAATTCCCACTTTCTCATCTGGGAAACTAAAGCACGGAACAGCAAGAGCTGAGGGTCACATCCAGCCAGAAATCCTAATGTGGAAAACAGGTCTTTCTGAGAGAGCCAGGTCGGCTGGGATTCCCGCACAGCGCTAAATACCGAACCCGACTCCCACCCCCGCCCCAAACCAGTAAGGGATTAACCTAGGCAAACTCTGCGACCCGCCAACAGCGCACTGGGCAGGAAGCGGGAGCCCAAGAGGAAGTCTCTGTAGGGTGAAGCGACCTCTCTCTGTCGGCAGCCCTAGGGAAACCCACGTGGAAGGAACGGCCTGGAGATGTTGGGGCGGAGCTGAACGAAAAGGGGGCGTGAGGGCCGAGCCGGAAGGGGAGGTCTAGGGCCCGCCAGGCCACAGCTGGGCGGGGCGAAGTGGGAGGCGCGGGAGGTCTGCGCGAGCTTTGCTGTGCAGCGAACTGGACACCATGTCAGGGGGCAGCAGCTGCAGCCAGACTCCAAGCCGGGCCATCCCTGGCACTCGCAGGGTGGTCCTCAGCGATGGCGTGCAGCTGCCGCCCGGGGACTACAGCACCACTCCCGGCGGCACGCTCTTCAGCACCACCCCGGGAGGTAGGCATGGGCTGGGGAGTCGCACACGGGCCCTGGGTGGACCGAGCGGGAGGGATCAGGAATCGCTGATTGGACTCGGCGCCCACACTCGAGGGCGCCGTAGCCAGAAAGAACGGATAAGGGGCGTCAGGGAGGCCGCAGTGGTCACGGAGTTGGTCTGCCTTCTAGGTCTCTGGGCGCATCGTCCAGAGCCCTGGCTGCAAACTGTCCCATCAGTTTTCTCCTGCAAGAGACGGCGGAGTGTCCCCCAAACACTGACAAGCACGATTACAGGACTGCCACATGCCTAGGGATGTTGCAGTTTTGAGCGGGATAGGGTGGGGACAGGGTGGCCCACGGATCAAGGAAAGGCCTGGGCTGGAGTTCTAAAGCGATGGGCATTTTCTTTTGGAATAATTGCCTCTTGCAGAGCCCTTTTTACTTCCCGAGGACTCCTAGTGTTGCGTTGGACACGCGCCCTTTTACCAAAGCGTGGGGCCGAGGGTGCTTGCTTGAGCAGCGCTCCTCCCGCACCTGTGGCATGTTCCGTATTTACGCGTGTGGGATCCCCACGGAGGAGCCTGGCGCCGCTGGCAGAGCTGTGCGGAGGAACACGTTCCTCTGTGCGAGGGGAGGGGGTACCGTGTGACCTCCCTGGGAGTGGATGAGGAAGAGGAAGCTGAGCTGGCACCGGAGGGGGCCAGCCTTGAGCTGCCTCCGGGAGTCCCGCATTCCCTCCCAGCTCGGGAGTCCCAGCGCACAGGCGCTGATGAAACGTACCCGCCCGATTGCATGATGAAATCCTCGTGGCTCACCACTTCCCTCCCGTCGCCCCCACCTCCTTTTTCCTTTCTTCCCTCCCTTATGTGCTTAACGCTACTTCCCAAACTACTCGAGAACACTAGAGATCCTGGCGCACTGCTGAGTGGCGAAGGGGTGTCCCCGGGGGAGGGACTGAAGGCTGTCTCCTAGCCAGTCGCCAGGCCACATACTCATTTTCTCAGGCAGCTGTTCCACCACCAGCGATCAGAGCCAGATGCGAGGTCTTTGGGACTACTGAGTAATCTTAGAGATTGTTGCCCAATCGTGCCTTTTATTCTGTAGATCGCCACGCTGGGGTCCCCGAAAGCTTGAGCACGTGTCTGTTGTGCATTGTCATACCGTTTTCCTAGATTGAACCAGAAATAGCAATCGGGTGAAGAAGAGGACACTGCTGTTTCTTTTATTAGAAAGTATCCCAGGGAAAGTTCTCAGGGCTCTTGCCACCCTTGACTTGAATTTTCTTTCCTTTGAGGAGCCCTTTTGTAGTCCATGTTGTTTCCCTTTGTCTTCCTCATGATGTTTAGCAGGACCTTTTCCTGATACTCTTGGAGTTCTTAGTCCTGAAAGCTCAAGTAGCCCTATTTTGCCCCCTTTGTTGCTGGGTGCGATGAGATAGATGGGTAAGCAATAGTCAGGGGTACTGTTTAACTGTTTACCAAGGAACTTGGATCTGTTTCCCACTTTGGACTGGGACTTTTGGCATACCACAGCAAAATCTCCCTAAGGGTCTTTAGAAGCTCCCGCATCAGAGTTTAACATTAGTTTCTGAGGACAACTGGAAGAAAGCAGGGCTAGGAGCCCCAAATAGCTTTCTTTTGGCAATACTAGGGATTGGACCCAGGGCCACATACATGCTAGACAAGCACTCCACTACTGAACTACATCCCCAGCCTTTTAAAATTTTTATTTTTTGAGACAAGCTCAAAGTTGACCAGGCTGGCCTCAAACCAGTAATTGGGTCTCCTGCCTGAGCCTCCCCAATAGTTGTATTGTGTTTTGTGGAGCCAGCACAAATCACAATCCATAACCTAAGGAAACCCAGCTTCTACCAAAGTCTGCAAACTTGTTGGCCTAGGCATGAAATCTTCCTCCCAATCCCACTTCACCTCACCTGTTGATGTAATGAAAAATGGTCACACCTTGACAGTCTTTTGTTCAACTCCTGAGTACTGTTCTTAGTCTTCTATGAGGGGAATTATCTGATGATGCCTTTAAATGCAGATTTTGATTTTGTAGGTCTGGGGTGGGACTGAGATTTTTGCATTTCTAACTAGCTCCCAGCTTTTGTTCCATAAAACATAATCTGAGTACTCAGGAATTCCTGGGATTCTATACAGCTTCCCTTGTCCTTTCAGATCTCTGGCAAAAAATGATGATTCTATATAGGTAAAATTTTCTTGAGGCTGGGTCTGGAGAGACACACTTTTGATAGAATGTCTGTATGGCTTACTTGCAGCTTTCCCTGAAGAGCTATTGCAATAAGTCACTCCAGCTGGGAATGGCCCTCAAGTGTCTGTCTCTCTGGAGGCTAAAAAGTGATCCATATCCATTCCTGTGGCTCTGTTTGCTTTCTATGGTCATTAGCCCTTTTTAGACTGAGCACTGAGCTGAGGCTAGGTATCCAGAGATTTGTTATGTGTGAATATTTGAGTCTGTGAAAATTCCAGTGATACCATAAACAACAAAACCTTTAAATGGGTCAAGAAATCTTTCCTCCTCCTTTGTCCATATCTACATTCCCAGCCTGTGTTGGATGTTTGACCCTAAAGAGTACAGGGGTTGCTTGGGTGAAAGTCATACCTAAGACCTGTACCATGGTAAGGTTAATCAGAGGTAAGCAGGTAGAGCTGCAGGTGTTAATTGCACCTTATTTTGTTAGACAAACAAAGTTCTGTGCCTGGGAAGCTGACCTTGGAGCAGCTGACAAGTCTCTGGTTATAGAACAGGCAGTGCTGGGAAGAAGGGAGGTATGCTGGGCACTGAAGCTAGAGTATAGCCAGTGTCCTGAGGCCTTAGTCATAGAGGGGAGAAGTTACTGTAAAAGACAGCTAAGGATGGGTTAAGAGCCTTTGGATATTAAGGCAATGAGGGAGATAGAATGGGCCCTTTTCTCACACTGACCTGAGCTTCCTTTTTTTAAAAAAAAAATTTATTTATTATTATTATTATTATTATTATTAGTTCTGAGCTTCCTTTTAAAGTGGGACATTCTGCATTATGTCCCTCATTAAAGACTTTGACTGGGAGATAGGGTAGAACGGGAAACTGGTGTAGAGTACCCCAAACTCCCTCTGAGGTCTAAGCCTCCTTTTTTGTTGTTGTTGTTTGTTTGTTGTTGTTATTGTTTGGGGGGCTTTTTTGTTTGTTTGGTTGGTTTTGGGGTTTTGCTACTGGGAATGGAACCAGGGGCACTTAACCACTGAGCTGCATCCCCAATCCTTTTTATTTTTTTACTTTGAGATAGGGCATTGCTAAGTTGCTGAGGCTAGACTTGAACTTGTGATTCTCCTGTCTCAGACTCCTGAGGCACTGGATTACAGGCATGCACTACTATTTCCTGGCCAAGACTTCTTGTTTTTAAGGCATTCACCACACCCAGACTTAGAAGAATGATCTCAACCCCAGCCTGGGGTTGCTAGTTAGAAAGATGAAGACACGCCTAAAATGGGATTGTAGATTTCCAAGAGAGTAGTATGGTTACCTGGGGGTGTGGCTCAGTGGTAGACTTGTCCAGTGTGCCTGGCTCTTGATTCCATCCCCAGCACCACAAAAAGAGAAAGTAGCATGGCCATTGTTGTGACTAGGAGAAATGGAGATGATGGCTTAAGGGCAAAGACTTTCAGTTATAAGATGAATAAATTCTGGGGAGCTAATGTTTAGCATGGTGACTGTAGTTAATACTATATTTTTATTAGAAATTAGCTAAGAGAGTAGACATGGAAAAATCCACAGTCACACACACACCCACACACACACCCACACACACTCCTAAGTGCAGTAATGGATGTGTTAATTTGTGGTAATCTTTCATGAATGTTTTGCCGTATGATAGCAAATCATTATGTTGTACACTTTGTATGCAGTTTTTGTAACTATTATATCTCAATAGAGCTGGGGACAAAAAGAATTATAATCATCAAAGGCATAGCTATAGAATGAAGTGATTGGACCTCCTCCTGCCCTTGGATCCTATCACCCACAGGACTTATGTGATACTCAAGTGAGAACTCTTCCCTCTATACTATTACCCTGAGAGGAAAGAGTCTTGATTTGATGTTGTTCCAGAAAATAAGATAGGAAAGAGTGGTGATACTGGAAACAGAATTTTTTCTTTTTCTTTTTCTTTTTTTTGTACCAAGGATTGAATCCAGAGGCACTTAACTACTGAGTCCCATTCCCAGCCTTTTTTATTTTTTAGTTTGAGACAGGTCCTTGCTGAGTTTCTGAGGCTAGCCTCAAACCTACAGTCCTCCTGCCTCAGCCTCTGGAGATGCTGGGTTACAGGCGTACGCACCATGCCCAGTTTGTACACGTGAATCCTTGCAAGTTCAAACAAATAAAAAGCTGTTACTTTCTGGTCTGACACCATATCGGTGTTCTCTCCATCATGATTCATAAGAAATTAATCATGTGTGTTTGTTTTCATGTTTATTCACTAGGTTAGACGGGAAGTTCTTTCAGAGCAGTCTTATTGGTCTTTATATCCCCACTATGTAATGCCAGGTGTTCAGAAGCTCGAGAATTGGGCTGAGGTGAAACTCAATGATAGAGACTTGCCTAGCACTTACCTAGTGCTGCAAGAAAAATAAAAGAAAGGGGTGGGGTGAAGATTTTAAAAGAATCCTGGAATGAAAGCATTCCCCTCTAGATAATCTAGTTTCTTTGTCATCATTCCTGGATGTCAGTTGGTTAATGATAATGTTTAAGTTTTCCTTTCAGTTATAGGGTATAATTTATCTCAGATGTACCAGGGGCAGATGCTAACTTTTTCTGAGTTTCCCCACTTATTTCAGTATTGCAGAGAGGCCTAGTACTCATATTACATATTCAGTTATTACACAAGGAGTCAAAGTAAGTTTTTCTTGTTCTGAGTCAGTATTGGGCCAGAGTCTCAAACTCTGGGATTCGTGCTTCTTATTTAACTGTTTGCACGAGCATTGCTGACTAGATGAGAATAGGCAACTGTGCCTACTGGCATT